ACGACGAACAACTTGAAAAATCAATTTTTTTTGTCTTAATTTTCATATGATGTTCGCTTATTTTGGTGAGAGCGAGACACAAACTAATTGTCTATGTTCACATGTGGTAGCATCCATTCGTCTATGTGGGCCTACATAATGGTGACGACTTAAGGTTAGTCAATGTGCAAATTACACCGAATTTCTCTTTCTTAAGTCAGATTCCCATTATCTCAGAATATTTTTCCCTTCGTAAATCAAAAGTTCACTTAACTTCTGATGATTTATTGACGTCATTCAGCAGTATATTGAATAATACGTGTTTATCGTTGAAGTTATTGGATACCATGAACAACCACAAAGTATGAATAACCGATATAGAAAACTGACTGATAAAACTCAGTCTTCACCAAACAAAGGACTAGACGCATGGTACCAGTTATTAACCAGTGTCCGATCAGAGTACCACATTGTCAGACATGATAAAAGGAAGGTGTCACTCTTGAAATTCCCCCCCCCCCCCGTGACGATTATTCATCCAGTATTCTGCAGTGAATAAAAGAATTCCCCAGCAGCTGCATCGACATTCAGCAAGTAAAGTTGATCTTCCAACCAGAACCATTTCATTATACCAACAATAGACATCATCAATCAGTGTTCTCAGCTTCATACACACAACTAATAAGTAGCCTCTTGCACAACAGTCGAAATACCTTTGAGAGTATCAATATTAGCATTCGCTTCTGCAAGTTTGACAAAATGTCATCGAAACTGACTACGTCCCTGCACTGTCCATAGGTCCTTGCAGTTCTTCAATTCGAGAAATGTACCCACATATTCATGACGAAAGAGTAAGCTTTGTTAAGTGAAGGGATATTTCTTTTCAACGACTTCATTATTAAGCTGTAAAGTCACATTAATATTACAAAAGTGTCATTGAGTCGCACTAGAAATTGCTCGGTCAATATGAACACAGTAAGAATAAGGAGAAATAAAATCATGTTTTAAGGCAGTACAGTTCAAATAAATGAACTGCAATACTTTCGAAGATTATTAAACAAGTGAATTGATATGAAGATTATAAAATTATTGGTCAAGTGATGTCTAAATGATGAAGACTTTGATGATGATGATGACAACAAAGGAGGCGAAGATGAAGTGAAGTGGAATGAATTCACATGGTGAAATAGAATAAAATAAAAGAACATTACTGTGACTGAGGTAGAGAACGAGGTCAAAATAAAAGTTTCTGAAGACAATTCAGGGTTTTCGTCCATGTATAGCTAGAGGTTCGGCTATGCACAAGTGGAGAAAACGTGAGCTTTTGGAATGGTTGGATATGATCCTGCAGATGACTTTACACGATAAATCACGTGGTGATCAATAATCTGACTCCAGTTGGTATTCACAAATTGAAGGTTTCTTTATCCTCTGCTGGCCTTTCATTAACCAAATCTGGTAGGAGATGGTTGTCACTCTGAATCTACCATAGTAATGCGTTTTTTCTCTTATCCTACTTCTTATTTTTTTTATTATTATTCTTGATTCACTTGAAACTATCTTCTATCAGTAGTATTACCATAACTCACTACAACATTATTATTATTGTTATTGTTATTATAACTATTACTACTGATATTACTCTGTTTGCAATTCTTGTTGTATTCTCTAATGACTAATTTTTTATCTAAGTGACGTATCAGTCTTATATCTTCCAATGTAATTTCAAAAGTATATATATCCGTGTATGTAGAGCATTCAGCTGACGACTTCTACCGAAATTTGATGAATTCAATAGATCTTGCTTTATTAACTTGTATTGCTGATCTTAAATCTGATAGTGTTAAGCTACGCGTTCCTGAAGATTATGCTTACAATGTCCAATGTAATCAGCTCCACATCAGCACATAAATGAGTGAATCTGCATAGAGGTAGATAAAAGCGATACACTATCAAACCACATTTCAACTGGCTACTGTGAAATGTTAGTCAGCTGCATATAAAGAGCGTCTAATCACTTTAGCACTAATGTCACTTTTGAACGCCAAACGCATGAATAGTGTCTTCTTTGGCATTGTGATTTATCTAGGGACAGTTTATTTCTTGATGTTTCTGTCACCAGACCTTCTAGGATATACATTACTTAAGAGGGTTGTGTGAAGTTTGTTTAGTTATATATTGACTGTATCCAAAGACGAGATTTCTCCACATAATCAACTGCTGAAATTAGTGAACTTCACTTTGAAGGTTGGTTTCCAGTGAGTCGACCACTTCAACGTACCATCCTGTCTTCTGTCTAGTGTAACATCTAAGAAGTGAAATGTGGAGTTCAACTCGTCTTTGGTAGTGAAGAGCATAGGCAGGTGAGAAGCATTTAATTCTGTGAGAAGTTCTTTGGTGAAGACTGAATTCCATCAGTCAATCTTCTTCACCGACCATCACTTCATTCACATTAAAATACTCAGCAAGTTAACGAATCACTCACTTGTGTATTACCTTATATTGATTATCATTCACTTTCCTTAAATTCTCGTATCAAACACACAGACAGGACTTCAATACATTCAGATGATTCTTCTCTACATTTAGTTGACATCACATAACTTCGAGATCAGTGTGTTCCCCAACTCACATGGTCAAAATATTTTATGAGAATTTCACATAAATAACATGCATGTGTAAATGATCACTAAATTCAAACACTTTCTTCGATTACAACACACCTACTAGTTTCTATGGCAAATACTATCTCTCTGCTCACCACTCACAGGTGCTTACAACTGGTGAAGTGTCGATATTTTGTGACAATGTTTCATGGAATAAATTTTCAGGCCCGAATGCCTACTGCAGCTGAATTTGAGATATGTGCAATGATATTCAACATCCTCGTTTATAACAAGACGTAATTATGTTTGATATATTACCAGATAACATGATCATAAACAGTGGAAGCTCATTTTAAGTTGGAGAGCTTCCCTGAATTCTCTTTTAGCCATCCGACTTCATGATATTTGAAATACTTCGTGAATATAATTTCAGTGATGAACGAATGTAAACATATGAAATGTGTTACCTACTCTCAGAATATTCAGTTCTCTCGTACTAAACAATTACCGTGTCATGTTATTGCGTTAGCATGTACAAGGGAAATGTCACGTTTCAAAGGAGAGATTTGAACATGCTGATATAGATACGTAAACAAGCTGGGTGTTACTGAAAACATCCAGAAAGTAAAGATGTACCTGTCCACATGAATGATCGTAAAACAAATTACGAGTCATTTCGGTTTTCCTAAGGCAGCGAAGTTGTCTGCATCACAAGCACCTGTTAAACTCAATAATTACAATCAAATATACATATAGGATCTACAATGTGTGTACCTAGATGGTTTCTGAGAAATAATAAAGCTGGATACTCCTATGACGTAGCAATAGACAGAGTGGACAGGAAAGTGAGGAAAGCCTTCCAATAAAATCTAGCAAATATGACACCGTCATCAAATTACCTGTAACATTTAACCAAAGTTGCGAACTCATGCATGCGAAGATCATTTGTGAAGTCATTTGTTGGGGGAAGGGCTGGACATGGGTGATTAAAGCTGAATTAATGAGATTAGGATTTCTGGGTCTCATGACAGAAGTCGATATATAGAATTAACCATTTATTTATTCATGAATCATGAAGGGTTGAAAATTGACAGATTATCAACTGCGTTTATTCCAACTCACTAGTTGGGAATAGTTCCGCTTTTAGCCAGAATAACATAGCAAATGTCATGAATAGTCCCACCAACTCGATGAATTCAAGGAAGACCATAAATACCACTGAGTGGATTGTTTCATCAGGAGAATATTTCAACCACACTGTAGATAAGTATATGACCTGCAATTTCAAAAGATCAAAATGTGAGTATTCTTCAAAACATTTCAGGTCAGTGTCATAGGTGCTTGAGGCGATTAGATGTGAATCATTAGAAAATGTGGTTGATGAGTATTATTTTATAGGGAAAATTTTAGTTATTGATTGATTTCTCATGACAAACTGTTAATCCTCTGACTGATTGAAATATTCCTACAAAACTGTTAAGACATCATTCAATATCGTGTTTAAACAGTGTGAATTTGAAATTAATCGTCTGTAAAATTGGAAAACTACTGAGTAAAGACAAACAGTTTGCAATGACGAGATGCAGCAATAGAAAAAACACATATCTAACACATAGAAAATTTCCAACATTACCACTTTCAAATTTGTTTCACTGGAACTCACAAGACTTGTTCCAATTCCGAGAAATAGTCCGCATAGTATGTCGAATGGAGACTGAAATGAGAGAATGAAGAGTAGGAAGCAAACATTGAGAGGTTGCATTCAGTGTGTTTGATAAGATAAAGATTACTGATGAACTTTGATATGTGACTTTAACTTTTGTGTAGATCTTGACAACAAGCGATTCACCACAAAAGTGTCAATTGCGATTTATGTCATTTCATCAGGCCACAACGTCGGTGACACCTTTTCTTCGAATGAAGACAACCAATTCCTGAATATAATTACAGATGACAACAAATAGCGGAATGAAATGACCATTTGGATGGAGCATGATGCATTCGTCGAGTTGAATCATTGAAGCCCACTGTATGGTAGCTTACAGTCGATGAGAATATAGTCATCTGGATGTTAGAAAGACATCTTGATATGGAGTACTAACAGGGAAACATATAACTGAATACAGCCCTTTTTCTAAGGTGGTGAGTTTCGATTGCGAAGGATAGAGCTTTACAAGAGTGTTTATACTCTGGAATAGTGATAATCATATAGTCGAATTTTAAACATAAATATATGACAGGGGTAATTTCTGTTCACATATTATCTAGCCAGGGTCAGCACGCCACTCTCCACTTAACGACTGATCGTTAGACAATATATGTCCTCCTGCTAAATTCTCAGGTATATTTGTGCATGGTATAATATAAAATGAGGAAAATCGAGTGCAACATTCACACTCTAGATAAGCCACTTACACCATATTTTTGAAAAAGAATGAAGAAGATAATTCCAATGACGAAAAGTACCATAGGCAGTGCGTAGAATAAGACATACCCCTTGTCTGTGAATTGTTTTGATCTGAAACCTAGAAAAATCGCTGTTCCTCCTGCGAGGAATGTTAAAACGAGAGAAACCAAGCTGTATATTGGGCCAATTTGATATGAAAGCAAGGACTGTCCATGGAAGGAACTATAGAAAGAGAATTACAAAATATCAGTGAATTTCACAAATTATGGGCAGATTTTGCACTGAATACATTTATTCACTTCATGATATGTCATCACTGGCAGAGATCCTGAGATCATCAATTATTTGATAAGCAAACGATGTACGCTATTTCTCATCTAAATTGCATTCGGTGATTGAGAAACTAATGTGAAGGCTGTTTTCAGGTCAGTAAGCAAGCCATCTGAACTGAAACTACTATGACTTTCAATTCATGATTATTATTTATAAAGGTGTTAGTAAACTTGAGATGTTACTTTTCGTATTGTCAGGTGTTCTTTCCGCCAATCGCTTCATTATCAAATCGCTATGTATATTTTCATCGCTTACTCAATACAATTTCTATATTTTTGGCATTTTAGGTCCATTATAGGACAAGGAAGTCTTAGTAGTGGTTTCATCAATATTCTCATTTACGCGTAGTCAGTTTAGTGATAAATACCAATCTTGTTCGTCAAATTCCATATTAACCACCAACTACCAAGATGATTTACTTTTTCTGTGATCAGTGTTGTCTTTTTCTGTCTGATCGTTTCCTCAGTGGTGACTGTGAAGTACATCAGTTCCATTTTCTGCTAAATTTATAACTAATTTGAAGGAGATAAGGATGACACTCAAGGTTTTCAATAACTGAATTTAACCAGTTCAGGTCTACTCATAATTGAATATCCAGGGTGAGATTGTTTAGGGGAAAGTAACTTTTCGTGTGGTACAGAGTGTTAGTCTTCTATCGCAAACTAATTTGAATGTAAAGTGAGCAGTGAAAATCACCCAGTCAAAGAACTTACTATGTTAGAAACATTTTCTAAATTCTGAACTTACTGCTAATACCAGTGAAAAGATATAAATTCTGTAATGTTTTCGTAACTTCCTGGAGATCAGTATGGATATGGTCATGATGACACCAATGATGCTGAAGAGAATAGTGATGGAAAGTAATATGAGTGTTTTCATCAACAACAGCCTGAAATTATTTTATGATCAGAATAATAGATCTGACAGAATTAATTGTTAACAGCCTTTTCACGTATCATTAAATCGATGCAGTCAGTGTGACATTATCTGTCACTCGACAGTTACGAATGATTTCAAACAAAGTAATAATCCATGGAGCATCCGTTTTACTTCATGGATTTCTTATCAACTTCTTGCAGCCTTCAGTTCATTGAAGCCAGAATGTGTAACAATAATTGCAAACGATCATGGTATACATAGATGAATTAAAATGTTTAGTTAGTCAATAATGGAAATGTTGCTTTTCTGACCTATGCAATGTGACTGGAGTCTATTGAACAAAACTACAATTGTAGCAATCAGATATTGAAGTACATAAAATATGGGGTTGCGTAAATCACTAGAAAACTGCCAGTTAACAAAAAGAATATGGAAGAAATATGCTGTGAGTTAATTTCATTCATTTAGATATCAAATATGTGGGGCGTATCGTTTATAAATTTTGCTAGTGAGCAAGAGCGAAATTGAATGGCTCATTGTTACCATGGTAGGATAATGCACTTGGTACGGATCCGATCCCATGCCAATGCAGTCCCAAACCTCGCCTGGACGGCAGTCAGCTATGAGAAGAATAAAGGTTTGGTATGGGGTTCGCAATGTCATCCCAACTGAAAATTCTAAACTTAAGCTTGAAGCCCCATGTTCCACACAGGACACAAAGAAATGGAAAGGAGATGACATAATAAATTATGGGCGAAATTCGATTTATTAATTTAGAGAATGATTTACTACCGCTTCATTTGCAATACATAAAAAAGAATTTAATGGTTTCATGGATATGACCACTGAGAGTTAGACGAGGCTTGTTTTTGTATTATTTTGAATGAGTTTGAAATGTCCAGCTGGTGTTCTGTGTCGACCAGGTGTCTAATAGTATGTCGCTCAAACTTCAAGCACCACTAACTACCAATCAGTGAATGACTTCGGACGCACCAATCACATGAAGGAGGCACTTTTGTGTTTAGAATGCATATATTTATGAAGAAATGCATAAAACTGTGGAAAAGTGTTACACAGGATACCTTCCTCTCACATGTGATAAAAGTAGCTCTCAGTTTTAGGTTTGAGTATCTACCGAGTATAATTCCATTGTGGATAAAACGTATTTTGATAAAGTCTCACAATGTTATGCAGTAATATTTAGTGGGCAATAAACTGTTCTCGAAACGTCATCAGTAAATATTAATGTGTAATACAGTGAGACTTCATCAAAAAATGTCATCCATAATGGAATTATACTCTACCACAGTGCACAAGTACTGTTCTTACATCAACAGAGTAATTTAACCACATTCTACGCATTTAATTATTTAGGTCTTCTAACCGTAACAATAACTCTAATTTCTCCTAAACCTAACTCTAACGTGAAAACATCTCTAAACTAACTGTAATCTAACTCGAACCAACCCTATTGTCACCTTTAATAGGTTAACCTAAGCCTAACTTGTCCTTGGCTTGAAGCGAAACTTGATCTTTCTCAAACCTAAGCTGAAACTCCCCGGATATCTTGTTTACTAGCATAACACTTCGATGAGCATATTTTATTGATGGTGACAACATTATTTGCCAGGTTTCACTAACTTGCTCAGTGAGCATTTCAAGGTCATTTGTGTGATCACACTCCACTGGTAGTTAGTAGTGCTTAAAGTTCAACTTGGTCCAGTTTACCTACTTACAGTCACAGACTTTTCGATATGTGTTCAGGAAATCTTAGATGGGTCTTTCTTTCTGTTCGCTCAATATGTTTAATTTGGCTGTTGTACGTCGATTGAAATGCATAGTTGGAATTACCAACTGAATTGCATATGTCGCCTCTCCATTGACTTAAGCAACGTGTTATTTGGTGCACAGAAATCACTTCAGGTTGCTGCATTGTTATCACTTTGCAAAAATTTATTCAGGCGGGATTCGCATATGAAAATTCTGAATATGTGAAGAAGAATATTCGACAACCGAGGGGCATCGAACGCCTTCACCGTTATATATTATATAGAGCGATGTCAACGAATATATTCTAATCACAATCATTGAACACTAAATGGAATACTGAGCAGATAATGTTGATAAGCTCATAGCGACTCAGTAATCTCACATTCATTGGTGTAATACAGTCAGTTTGTTTGCCAATCTAGCAGAGTCTAATTATATCGGTGCAATGTGAGCAGAGTAAAAAGCCACAACGCACTGAATAAATAAATCCAGGGGGAAATAAATTACTTTTGACTTACCAACATATAGCCACTGCAATCAATAATGAGTGTGACGAAAAGCTGCTTCTGTTGTTGTTGGAAGTAAAATGGATGAGATGAAATATAATCTTACGTTGCAGTCTTCATCTGGTCCAATGTTGTTGACTGCTGCATCGGCGCAAAAATATTGACAGTGTTGTTAGTCTGAAAATCAATTAATAAATTCGACTTCTCCCAGACAAGTATTTGCAGTCACAGAGTAAAGAACACTTGCAGATAAATCACAATGCAATTCAAATTACTTGACACATGAACATTTTACACAACATGAAACTTTCTACAAAACATCATAGTGGAGCTTTGACGGAAACAAGGAGAATAGGACATAAATGAATGTTACGGATTTGTGGAAACCATATTTAGAACTGAAAATTACTGCTTTGCTGGGAATTAGCATAGAAGCGGTAGGCAACTACGAGATATCTGTGAGAGAATGTAGAATGTATAGGGACTCTTCAAGTTGTTGAATGGAGAGTCAATAACCCACTGCAGTCAGTCACCCAGAAGACAATGACGAACACACTGAGGGAGTGGCTATCGTCATGTCACTAAGAGCATCGATGGCTCTTATGCAGTTGGAAGCAATCTGTTCGAGGATAATGACACAAGGATTTGATTCAAAAGGAAGGAATTTACAATTATCCAATGCTACGTACAATCTTACTAACAACGCGAATCAAGAGAAGAAGGAAGGCAACTGCAAAATGTAGTAGACAACGCATCACGTGGAACATAGACATTCTAATAGGTGATGTGAATGGCAGTCAAACTACGAGCAAGTAACACAAGAAAATAATTCGTCATACACTCTTCATTCACTTCTGTGCATTGAATAATTTGGTGATTGGCGGTGGTGTGTACAAGGGCGAAGAAATACAGAAGGCGAAATGGCTTTCATCAGATAGACATTACCAAAATTTAGATAAACTCTATCTCAGTCTCGATAGATTGTAAACGCAGTCTCCTGAACACATGAAGATCTACGGAAAGAAATCATGAAGTTGGTAGAAAAGGATAGTAAACAAGACAGGACCACAGATGAGCATGGGAGATTTAGAGATAATGAAGAAGTCTAACCAGCAATGGCAAGCATCAATCACTGTCAACCAGAGAAATCAGCTGTTTCGCTTATCCAGGCGGCATCGTTTGATCTACGAGAGACATGGAGGAGGATTTTAAAGCCGACCAGGATCTGGAAAGCAAGACAGACATTCAATAATCTCAAATCTGTGTGGAAATCTGAAGTCCTCAGTATGAGGAACAAGACTGTGATTTTCAACACTGATATCATTTCAGTGATTGCTTTCGTGTGATTCAGAGACTGGACATGAGTATCACCGAAAGAGTTCTCAACAAGCTCCAGATGTTTCCCAACTTCAGCCGTCTCTCCATACTCTATATTAGATAGTTAGAAGGGACTGGTAACAAGCAATTCTGGAAATTCATGCAACAGTGTCGCAGAGGTAGAAGGCTTACCAAGTATACATGTGGTCTGAGTTCGATCCTCTATTAAAGAGGCCAGCAAGCTCACTCTATAGAAATAAGCACCACTGCTACTGAAACTTCAAACCTCCAGCTTGAACCCGGAAGATAAACGAATAAAATAAATAATCCTGGAGACAAACCAACAAAGGAGAAATTGACCAAAACATGTGACGAAGAAAGTTGAAGTGGATCGAACACACTCTGAGAAGATCTCTGAGTGATATCGCATCCCAGGTCCTTGAGTTCAACCTGAATGAGAAGTGACCAGTCAAGCGTTCAAATGTGAAATGGCGGTGTCCATGTGAGGAGGAATCGAGAGCTTATGTGCAGTTGTCGAGGCAGATACAGAGGACTACATAGAACACGATGAAGTCGATTGGTACTATTGAAGCATTATGATCCACTCGATTCTTAACGGAATAATAGCAACAATACTGTGAAACTAGATACTTTGAAAATCGAAACCTTTGATATTTGCAAACAATAATACACCAAGGCGACGTTCACGTAATAAAAACTGATAAACTCACAGTCTTTTATTCCACAGGTATGTTGAAGTCTTTACAAATGGTGTATTTATATAATTGTTAGCAAACAGGCCATTCCAGTAAACTATTTTTATAATAATAATAATTAGCACAAAGTACTGAAGAATGACCTTTGTTAATTTGCGTCTTTCTCGAAAAGTGTTACTGTTAACCAATCAGTGTTCATCTGTCTATGATTTTGATTTTCGATAAAGAAAGGTTCCTAAGAATTGTGAGACACATATAAGTGTGTGACAGACAAGAGAAATGCGTGAAATCCAATTAATTGTACTTAGTTAATCATGTTTCTCATTTGGTGTCATTCTGTGTGTTTTTGATGATAATCCTATACAAACTGACTGCTAGCAAACAAGCGTGTTAGCACACATAAATCTACCGGGACATAAACATCGATGGCTTCTCAATATAAGAGTAGGAGTGACATCAAATTTCTCTTCTTTTTATATCAGTCTTTTGTCGTCTTTGTACATCAGAAGTTTATTAACGTCTCTTGATTTCTACGAGTTGATCACAGATTGATATCAGTTAGGCAGAGAATCATTGAAAACCAACCAAGGAGTACTGGACAGCTGTTTCATCCTAGTTTGAGAATCACTGGCAGTATGCAACCACTGGGGTTCAATTTCTTTCACCATCAGTTTTGTTTGATTCTACGAACAGTCACAAGGTATTATTCACCGATGTGGAAACCAAACGAATCATCTTTTCAAACAGTTTACAATGCAGGTGTTTCTCTTTCACGCTTCAATTTCACTGTAATCGATACTCAACTCAGCATCTGCGTCAACATTCAGCAAACGAATTTCATCTTCCAACATAAATCGTTTCATCACATTAACATTGGGAACTATTGATCAGTGTTCACAGCTTTGTAGGTTGGAGCGATAATTAGTCTCTTGAACAGTAGTCAATGTACCTTTCCATCACTACATGACTCTTCATTGGTAAAGTGGATAAAGTTATTAATTTCAAATGCGCATTATGAAAATTGGTGAAAATGGCATAATTATCCTGAGGAAAACATTCTCATATTAGTATTTCTGTGACAGACTGAAAAGCTGTTCATTAGCGAGATAAGTAATCTCTATGTAAGTGTCATTCGTTTGATCATATCCAGGAATATCACAAACGGGACAATTCTGAGTCTTTGAGTTGCTAAATAACTTAAGCAGTGTTTTATGGTCCTAAGGCCAAGAAGCAGGATTTACATTTTTCGAACAAACCATGTAACGAAAGGTGGCAAAACGTATCTTTCTACGCTTACCTACCCTCAGCTAAGGAGTGATCTAATTAATGCTTACAAGATGTAGAACGCATAGAATCACCCAAACAAATCTGTCTTGCCATTAAGTCATGACAGACTTTATCGTGGAAACCCAAAGATGGTCATGCACAAGAAGGGAGAAACTGGAGTTCACTCGTATTTCTTTCGTTTTGATTTTGCTGCAGCCGAACTCTTTACTAGCATTCGTGTCTGCTGCAGCTTTAGCGGAAGGTTTTAAGTGAAGCAAAGATAATCAAACACAGATGCAAGAGCCGTGCTCAAATATGAAATAGTTTCAACCAAACAGATGCTAAGCACTCATATACAGCACAATATCAGGGGATCTCATTTAAACTGGCAATTCCTCTGTAGTGGCAGTAGAAGTAGTAGCCGGTGAGAAGGGATCATTAGAGCATTGAATACTCGAGTAAGTGAGGTGTGGTATACGCTTTGCTTTGTCCGAGAAGTGTAGATCACCGCTGACAACTTTTGGGTGTATTCCAAACAAACAAATTCATTCTGTTTCAACTCAAATTTCGATGTAGTTGCCTCCGCCTTTGTAACCAGAACAAAACAATTGTTCACTGAAATCTCTGACGAGTGATGTAAGAGTAAGGTGATGCAGAAGATGGAGGAAGTGATCAGGTGGTTAAATGAGCGAGGATGCCACTTCAGTAAATTACAATTAACTCTCCATCATGACACAACGTTTGACAGAGTCAGCACATTTCCTGCCTCTCTTGTGAAGGCATAAACTCAAGGAGTGAAATGAAATTAGTAGAAGTAAAATCGCTGTGGCTTGTTGACAAAATTTATTGGAAACTCATACACGTCTATATTCTGCATTTTCATTCATAGACATTATAAAATTTATTTATTATTTTTTATAAAACTGCATTCTAATTTAGTGTAGTGACATTGAATCCATGCGAAGTTATGAATCAGGAAGCCTAAATATGTCAACTGGATTTCGTTGATGAGTACTTAATCATGTGGTATGAAATTAATTATCTCGAAGTATTCTCATCACAAACCACCAATGCCTTATGATTCGGTTAGAACAAAATAGCATGAAGCTGTTGTGTAGACGGGACAGCTCTTTCAATTAGTTGACACATGAAGACATGGTGTTACGTCAAAATTGAGGTTTGATTCCTCAGGCTGTCGTCAGAGTGGGGTTGTTAAAAGGGTATAATTTGGAAGTGTTCACTGGAGCTTGTGGAAATGGATTTAAGTTCATCAGGTTTTAGAATCGTATGTAAAATTGCTTTCTCCCAAAGTGTGAAATATGCAGTAGTCATTGATGTTGATTGGAAATGTTCATATCATCTGTCCGAACGTGAGTGAATCATCATTTTCTTCAATACTCAGAGAGAAGACTATTCCGAAAAATTGGGTGACAGGGGCAAGGAGGAAGGAGCATAAAATGTAGCAGATCAGTGAGTCAGAGTCAATTGCAATAAGAAGCTCACTTTTCAATATGTAACGAATTGCCCTTCACTTCATGGGTGGAACAAACTTTGAATTCCATTCTGGTCCTGTCGCACCAGATATTAATAATAGTCTGCCTTGCTGATCATTATGGCGATCAGTCAGTAAGAGCTGATCAAAGTACTTGAATAGATGATCCAGTCACCTGATTTGATGACAGACGATCATATCTTTTCCCATCAATACGTAGTTTAACTTTTGATAACAAAAGTTGGAGTCATCTGAGTGCCTCAATGAATAATCACCTAGAAATCAATTCGATTACTGTGGTCTGTTGTGTCGCTCTCACATACTACTCACAAATTTTCAAACCTTTTTCATGTAAAACACCACAACATCATTTACACTAAAATTCG